TAGGAACAATGAACTGGTATCTTCACTGGGATGCCAGCAGGGATTCTGCTCACTGAATTTTGATTTTGGAACATACAAATACCGAGAATTAAGAGACCTACGATTAAATAAAGACTTAATTTCAAAAATGTGTCTTAATCAACCTTGTGACGAAAAGCTTTCTGTTGTACAATTAATATCTGATTTGGGTCCCTTCGAGATCTTCAGTGGTGATTGAAAATGGCCTATTGTCAAATGGTAAGAGGCCGCCACTCGACCACCCAACCCGAGTCAAAATTAATCACACACTATATATGATTTATCAATGGAATTTTCTATTTATTTACTAGACCGGGCTGATATAAAGTATGGAAATGCTGTTTTCTGAGAAAGAACAAAAACTAGCTACGTCCGCATCAATGATAAATAATAATTTCCCCAAGCCATTGCAAAAGTTATCGCATACATTCTCAATTTCCCAAATTAATGTAAAAATATAATTCTGCAAGATTTTTAATATAAGTTAGGGAAGACATATACAGCCAGTTTAATAACTTATCATTAGGGATGCGAATCTCAGGATCCAAATTTATTCTAAGTCCACTTAAGTATTGCAGCTAAGGTCGGAGGGATAATATACATTGGTTTCTAGAACATGATATCTACCAACCCATGTGCACACATGGAAATGAATGAATTGGAATCGTAGAAATGGTTAGGGGACAGAAAACACAAGGAGAATTTTATACTGGAAGAGGAAAAGGATAAGCGAAGCGATAGAAGCTTGACCTAGAGGCCCTATGGTGTGAGGGAGAGGGAGGATTGGAGAATGTGGTAGCTGAATGAGTAAGATTCACAAGCCAAAGGGACTTGAAATGGACGTGAGAATCTCGATTTGAGAGATAAATCTTCAGTAAGATTAGCGTACACGTCCCATAATATGTTTGGGACGAGTTATGTGAATACATTCTCAAGTATGACGTATAAAGTGGTCGGGATTGAGGGATTACATTTAGTCAGTTAGATAGGACAGGAGGATAGAGATGTTAGAAGGTTGGGAAAATGGCTTTAGAAATAGATAATAAATTGGAATCAGGAGGCCTCGTAAATAGGATGAGAAACCACACTAGGCCCCACTCGTAGGGCCACACACTTGAAAGATACAGAAACAAACGAAGATACAGAGGAAATTGACCATATAACGTGGGATTGAGGGGTGAGGCTGAAGCACTAAGACGACAAGGGAGACGAAAGGAGGCGAGATGCTTCAATCGTTGAACAGAAAGCTGGCCGAGAGAATTGCCATATCTTGTTACTATGACGAAGTGAAACTCAGTCCTAAGGATGGCACCCCTCCATGAAGACGCCAGCCAAGCATCCGGGGCTA